GAATGCAACTTCCAACCTATGGATCCTGATTCAAATAAATTGTAAAATGGTAGGTTGAGATAATCTGAAAAATCTGAATATGGACTGGGTATGAGAAAATACTAAGCAATTGTTGTTGACTTTGATAAGAGAGATGATGGCGTATATAGGTTTAAAGAAAGAGATAAATCAATCAATCGCTTATTGGTTTAGATAAGCTTACTCAAGTATTTACTTGAGTAAAGTGGCATAATGCCTGAAATTTGTTTGAAAATACTCCATCCCAAAAAGTAAATTATAAACCAAAGTAACTGGGAATAGAGATGAAATAAGATGGGCAAGACGGTATTGGTTATTGAAGCTGGCCCTGTGGTATGGAGTCAGTTCATTTGACAAAGACTTTGTGAACTGGTAGTTAAACCACTGTTAGCTTAAAATTGGTCGTGACAGGAACATGTACACCACAAAAGTCAAAAAGTGCTACCCAAGTGGGCTTTTGTAGCAGCATTCTATTGAAGTTGGATAATAGATATATGGATTTATTTTATTTTCATGCCTACTTTTGTGCATGTTTGAAAACTTCAATAATATTTATTTACTTTTTGAAGTTAAACTACTTTTCCAGCCTCTAAGATCTGAAATTTGACCCCATTGTAATTTCCAGGTTATTTCCCACAGGGCTCCTCTGAGGCAGACAAGTCTTCTGAACACACCCAGGCATTGCCACCCTTGTTGTGACCTTCATCTAGGCCTTCCCTGCTCCAGAAGAAGTTCACCATCTCGATTCTCACCTATCCTTGCCCAGGTGCATGCATCTCTATGTGGAAGACTCCCACACTTGCTCCATGCAGATAAAATTTCTCCTTCATCTGAAATTTTGAATTAACTTAACTGGCACTACTCTCATGGATGGAATAATTAAATTTGTTGTACATGCCAGGCCTCCTACTAAGTTGCTCTTACATGCATTGTCTGACTGAATCCACACAACAATCAATGAGATAAGCCACACAACAGTTTTGCTTAATAAGAAAATTGAGGATCATAGTCATTAGATAGCTTTCCCAGGGTCACAAAGTTGACACTGGTGCCAGAATGTTCCAGAACCCTCAACTGGTAGGGAAGGGTCTGTGCACAGCAGGGAGCCCCACACAAAAGTATCGCATGAATACTTGTTGAATAAAATGGCAACTCAGTGACTGAGAGCCATGTTTTCTCTACACTGGAAATGTTTTCCTGTATGTCACACTTTATTCTCTTCTCACCTTTCACATCAATGTGCCCTTGGCCATAATTAACAATTAACATTTTAGAAACTCATTAAAAACGGCTGCCCTTCACAGACCGCTCTCACACTTGCCCCATCCTTGAAGTACTAGTCCATTTTTCATCTCCTCTGAGATGAAAGGAAATTTACATAGCAGGGAATACCGAGAATTTTAGCCCAGTCTCTCTTTTGTAGGGGATGCTTCTCCATAAGGTCACTTTTCCAACACTATGGCTGGGCACAGGGAGCCTGCAACTGATTGGTCTGCAGGCTTGTTATTTCTTTATCATACCCCTACCCAGGGCCCTCATCAGCATGTGCAGATGCTGGTTGGTGGGCCATCTACTACAAAGTTTCAGGAACCTTCACATCTCTGTAGGAACCAAGAAATAAAAAAAAAAAATTAAAAAGTGAATTCCAAGAAGCTTTGCGTGTTATTTATGTCCTAGATCAGGGCACAGGGTGCTAGCCTCTGCTTGGATGCTCCTCGAAATCTCAGCCTGCAAAAGGCAAGTGAGAAGGGAGTATAAATAAATGATGGTATTGGTAACTAGTACAAGAATAGCCAGTTGCTAGGTGACTTTCCAGGGACCTGGGAAGCATGCAAACAAACAAAAAAGAAGGTAATAAAAAAAGCATATAAAATATGGCACCAATTTAAAAAATCTGATAGGTTTATATGTCTAGGCAGAACTAAGTGGGAAGATTATAACCCCAAAATGCCATCATCTGTGTTCCTGGGGTGGAATAAGAGATTTGCTTGTATGGTATTTGGTGTATTCTAAGTTTCTACAGTGAACATTTAGAGCTTTTAGGTTAGGGGTCAAGGAATACATGAAAAAGGAGAAGAAAACTTATACTAAAGAGACATGGATGCCAGCTCTTATTCTTCTTGGTGGTGGAGAGGAAGGGTCCAGCAAAAGGAGAAGAGGGTCCTCACTTCCAATTACCCAAAGGCTAGAAGGGAGGGAACTAAAGTATGTCCGTTGCATCAAAAGGCAAGAACAAGATGTTAGAAGATAAAAGGAGTCATGTTTTGGTGGGTAAACCAAACAAGAGAGAAAAGTCAGGGTGGTTTAAGTGTGAATTTCAGAAGCTTGTACATCTGGGCTTTGAAAACTTGCTGAGAACATTATCACCTCCCAGTTAGGGCCTGACTCTAGGAAACAGTTGTAGCCCATGGCCCATAGGACAAGCTCATCACCTCTGGGAAGACCGCCCACCACCACCATACAGTAGCTTAGACAGTGTGGCCTCTCAGGCCCCACCTGCAAAGTCATGTGTTCCTTTCTATGACAGAGCATGCTGCCTTTCAAAATCAATAAGGAAAGGGAGAAAGGCAGATAATCTCTTCTCTATCCTCCTTTGCTCTATCTAGATGCTAAGAGCACAGGGACAGATAGACAGAAAAGCCCAGCCCAATACAGATGCTACTTTCACACTTTCAAGGTCATCAAAGACTAGTGAAGAAATCATAACTATCTTCTTCAAGTGGTTTGCAACACCAACGAGCAAACAAAACGGGCATCAAAGGAAGAACAAAATCCAACTACATTCCAGTGATAAGTGTGGACCATGAGAAGGCTGAGAGGCTGGTCACAGTCATCTCAGGGAGGGTTCCTCCTGAGTCCCTCCTGACAGCCAGTGACAGGTCCTGAAAGGAACATGCCCATGAATTATTGCAGGCATCAGGATGCATGGGGCTGTTTTCATCTGAAACCCAGAGAAAGAAAGGGAAAAATAACAACAAAAGCCAACAATTTGGTGCAGTGGGGTTGGAGGGGCAGCCCAAACCATGTGGGCAGCTTTGTTTCTATTTGGAAAAGCACCCAAAGGGTGGTGTTGACTTGAGGCACATCCAAGTGGTTGTGGTTTTGACTTAGGAAAAACACTGGAGCATTAACTTTGATCTGGGCATTTGATCTGGGCATTACACGCTGGCCACAAGGTTCCTAGGACTTCCTGGCCTCAGGATCAGGCATCCTGAGAGTGAAAAATACACATGGATGCTTCCAGGCTCAGGGAGATGATATACAAATGGAATAATGTGAAAGGGCTGAGCAGAACCAGAGTACTGGAAAATGTGGGATGCAAGTCAGGGAGTGTGGAAACTGTCCTTCCAGGATCCTGCCTGCAAAAATGACAGATGAGCCTCAAACATGTAATATTTTCTCTTCACTTAATAGTTCACGTTAAATCTAATATCTAATGACATATGTAAATGAACATGAGAGAACAGCACCCCAGGAAGAAGCCATGCCCTTCCCTGATGTTCACATATTCACATACATACATGCATGCACCTTCTGTAAACTCAGTCCGCACTATGTACCTTTCCAAGCAGCAAAACAGTATCCCCTTTCCAATGAATTTTCAGACAAAAATTAAAAAGACACCTTCAGCTGGGATGTCAGTGGATATGCATGGAGGTGTGGGGGAGCATGGGATGTGCTTTAGCTTCACATTCCCTTAGGTCCACTAGAATAGGTACTTTAAATACTAGTTTTTAGTGACTGGCAAAAAGGCTCACTTGTCATCTATTTCTCCAAACTCCCAGCATCTCTGACAGACGATCCACAGACTCTGATGGAGACACTCCACACTGGCACAGGGGTCTAGTTTTTTACTTTCACTAATGGTCCCTGATTTCGCTATTCTTCTTCCTTCAGCCTCTCACGGTCCACTCTGTGTCCTTGTTCCCTCCCTCCATGTGATCTAGGGATACTTCCCTTAAGGGCTTTGTCCTCAGTGGAAGGACACTTAGAGGACGGAACACACAAGGGAGAAAGAAGCACAGTGAGGGCACCAGTATTCTTGCATGTGAAACATGTTTAAAGAAGAAAACATGCTAAATACATGAAACTCTTGCTATTAACAAATTGCTTGCCCTACTGAGAAGTATGCCAGCATCGGCTGTGAAGACTTTTCCACCAAGGCAGAGCATTATATGATCATAAGGCAAGCACTCGATTGGGGTGAGGACAAGTTTCATAAGGAAAAGGGACAGGGCCTGAGCACCAAAGCCATGGTTTTTACGGGATTGACCTTTCTATTATGCTGTATTTACACAGTCCCCTCTTCAGGAGGGGACTGGAGCTTCTGTGTGTCTGGTCTCTCTGTGTGTGTGTAGACAACGACACCCCTTCCAGAGACAGAGAGGATGATTTCCTATTTTCTCCTCTGCTAAGCAGGTCCCAGAAAGCCTCTGCCTATACCCTCTTGTGGTTGGCCCATGGTGACCTCCAAACAGCATTCTGACAAGAGATAACAGTGGCCCATTTCCTGATCAAGATCAGCAAAACTCAACTGTCTGCCTCTGCAGGAGTCTGAAAATTAACCTCGCCACCAGACCATGACTGCAAGGCATTTGCACATGAAGATTACAGAAATGTGAATATCCTGTCCAAACAGAGAAAAATACAGGGGAGGACCCCAGCCCCAGCCCACCCTCTGCCTGCTTCAATTCAAACCTCTCCTAAGCTGGGTAACCTACCACTCAACATGCCAAACATCTTGATGTAAATTTTCTTTTGCTATAAAACACCAAGAGAGCAAGAATAGAATGAAGTTGTTCTGTCCACAGTGGGGTGAGAGAGGAGTTAGAGGGAGTGGAGCTACCTGGTCATTCTCACGGTCAGAGATGCTGGAGGTCCCAGGTGGATGTTACTGTCCTGGAGTCAAGTTCATTCACTCATGACCAAACCACAGAACATTTTACTCACTTAAACTTTGGGAAAGCATCAGGGGAACTCACCTGTGGCTGAAATCCTTTGAGGTCGCTGGCTGCAAGGTCACTGGCTGTGAGGAGCTGGAAAAGAACAAAGGAGTTTTCCTTAATGATACTTCTCACAGTATGCATACAGCATCCTCAAGACCTGGGCACAGCAGAGCCTGGATCAGAGCTCAAGAAGTATAGCCACTAGAGGTAAAGGTGATGCTTCCAGGAATCTAGACTGGATGGTCTTCTCTCTGTGTGCCCATCACCTCTCTGATTTCACCTCCCCCTTGCCGCCCTGCCCTCTTTTCCTTGTATGTGCTACCAATTCTGCAAAGGCCTTAAATAAGAACAAGGGCTATGGTTGGACTTCAGGAGAACTACTGGCTCCCTGAAACTGTTTGTTCATATAATTATGTGTGAATCTATAGATGTATACATTTCCCAAGGGAGAAGGCCCCTGGCTTTACTCCTACTATCAAACTAGTAATACAAGAAGTGAATAATTATGGTTTCAGAGACAAAGACCCATCTTCTCTGGGAAGGATTTTTCTTTTTCTTTTTTAAAATCAGAGCAATTAAAATGACCTTTTCTTCTTCTTTTCATTTACATGTGACTCAGTTTACCTCAATCCTTGTGCTGCTTGAGATTTTATTTACTATTTCGATGTTCATAACTTATACTTCAAACAATCATATACAACAAACAAGACAGGGTAAGAGTCAGGTTTATGCATATTTCCACACTTCTCTGCTTAATCAATGTTGAAGGGTAAGGTTAATATATATATATATATTCTCTGTAGTGCATGGCACCAGAAAAGCACCTGATAAAACACATGATTGATTAATGAAATAATCATATTCTTTATTGTTGCTTTAAAAAATGCTGGGAATGGGTGGGTAAAGAGACAAAGGAAAGAAGCTCATTTTGATTGCAGGGGTATGATGGCTAGCTTTGTTAGACTTGGAGAACATTCATGAAAACCAGGAAAGATTTCATGTTTTCTGTAACAATATTTTGTTTGATTCAAAAAAGAGAAGGAGCCATGCTGGGCTCCAGCACCTCCAGCCTCCAGAAAAGCTCAATGGGATTTTTAGCTTCCCTCAGTGACTCTGCCAAAGGTGATACCTAAGTGTAGCTAGAGCTGAGGTCATTTTCTCACCTCACCTGTTCTGTGGGCAGGCATTCCGATAAACAACCAGTTTGTCCCCTCTGATTGTAATTAAACAACCAAGCAACAACCCGCTTGGCCACTTGCCTAGGCACTAAGGGACAACATCATTAGAAGACCCAGCCTCTGTCTTCAAGGGACTTGTAGTTTGGTTAAAGGGTCAGACATGTGCATTTCAATCCAAGTAGAATGTAGCAGAGGGCCCGGATCAAATTTGAAGGATGATACAAGAGAGGTCATGGTAAGGCTGTTGAAGTAAGATGGAATTTGAACTGAGCCTTAAAAATGAGAAGGTGGCAGGACTTGAAAGAGCACAGGCAGAGCGACAGAGGCTCACCAGTCCCAATACACCAGATTGTGTGTCTATCCAATGCCAGCCACAGCCCCCTCCAGGAGAAATGGGGGCGGGAGTAGGGGACAGGATTGATACACAGAGAATGGCCTGGGTCCCTGCACACTGGTTGCTGCTTTATGTAATTTTTCTTTATCAATTTTCACAACCCCTTCATGAGACAGAAAGTACCTCCACTTCATGGATGGGGATAATCAAGACTTAGCAAATTATGTAACATTTGCTAGGTCTCATGTTAGTACGTGTATTTAGGATTTAAATCCCAAACTACACTTTCTCAAAGTTCAGTCTCTTTTCATCTATGATAAGATGACTCTAAATTATAGCACATCGGAGACCATTTGTTGAGGGGCTGTGGCATAGGAAAAAGACGAGTGCTAGAGTGTTAGTCACATGAGCCACAGGCAGTAACATGAAGCTTGTATTCTGGTGAATAACCCTTAACTAACCCTTCCTCCAGACACTCTTACTTAGTTGGTGATGATCATCCACCCTTATGAATTTATCAGTACAACCTAAGCCTCTGATCTGAACTGGGCATAGCGGGAGGAGGGCCAAATGCCGGTGGGGCTGGGTATGGGCAAGGGAGTAAACTTTGCAAGACACAGCCAGCAACACGTGTTTGCACATAGGAATCAGTCCAAATCCTCCAGGCCCTGTGTGGAGTAGCTAGCAGAAACCCTTCTAGCACCTCCAACAGGGCTCCCCAGGTAAGCGGGAGGCATGAGACCAAAAATGTACATTTCTCCTAGTCCTGAGACCCTGCCACTAAAAATAAACCACAAGTGTGTTCAAAGCATCTTAAAATATGCACTATTTCCTCATGTCAGTGGTTTTTGGAATTGAAAAAAGACCAGATCCATGTGCTTGATTGGAACTAGAGATCCAGCATCTTTGGTTATGATTCATTATGTCTCTGACTCAAAGTTAAGGTTTATTCCACTCTCCCAGGTAAACTTAGGTCCTCTTGTTCCTTCTCTCAGGAAGACGTCCAATGTGTACAGTTTAATTCTTAATTCTTGAAATTTCCATTCTGTGCTCTTGTATGGATCTTGTTCTTTTCTTTATTCACCTAACAAGAATATGCCCATCAAGACCATTTCTAACCAGAATACAGTTGGCATATTATCTTCTGTACATACACTTAGTCACTAAATAACCTGTTGGTCAAATAACTTAAAAGGAAAAACGGAGAATATTGTCAACCCCGAGGTGAGGGCGAGAATGAGTAAATTGCTGAGCGTGGAGAACAGAAGTGTGAGAGGCAGCTTAAGGCCTCCTTCAAGCTGACAAAAGGAAATGGCACTCAGCACCAGGCGCGCTTCCTGCGTGAAGGAGCCACTCCAATATTTGAATGAATTAATCAGCTCCCACGATGGCAAGCCAGCGCTTCTCTACCCGCTACCGGTTTTATGAGAGAATATTGGCTTATACTGCAGTGTGTAGAAGTCAGAGGTTACATTTAAGCAAGAACTGTATGCAAGTGAAAGAGGCTGAACCGCGAATGAATGCACCACCAGACAGAGTGAGGGCTTTCCCTTTCCTGCAGATGAGACAGGGGCAGGATGAATGGGCCCATCCCCAGCTCAGCTGTGCTGGTTCCTCTGAGACTGAGTGGGAGGGTTCAGGGAGGTGGCATCAGAGATAGTATTCAAGTAATTTCTAAAACTCCTGCACTCCCTTATCTTGGACCCTCTGATTCTTTTCCCTTTTTTTTTTTTTTTTTTTTCCCAGTGCTGGGGATGGGACCCAAGCACTGTCTTGAACATGCTGGGCAAAGGGCGCTACCACTGAGTGACATCTCCATTCTCTCACCTTGCAGATTCTGAATATGTTATTCACAGTCTAGTGGGCATTGACAGTGGCAGTTGACCTGCAAGCAGCCAAAGGCAAGCTTTGTCACCTGCCCTCTGTGTGTATGAAGAAACCTGTCTTTCCTCACCATCAAGCCACAACTCCCTGCCTGCCAAGCTCTAACTAAGCCGTAACCAAATGCAAGTTCTTGGGCAGAATACAACCCCTGCACTGTGAGCATTCCCCAAAGTGGGTGATTTCTTAGAAGACCACACTTTCTGCACCCAGGAAAAAGTGCTCAGGTTTTGATTAGAAGTATAGGACAAGCAAGCCTACCTATGTTTCAAAATCACAGACCACCTAAATCTGGACTCTTCAGTGCCAAGGCCTGAAAAAGACAGTTGCCAGTTCCTGAGGAGGAAGAGGATATCACTGTGTCCTCAGAGGAATCAGCAGTCACTTGTACGGGATCTGGGGTGAGAGAATGTGATCCTTGACAGTGGCAACCCCACTGGTCCCCTCCCTCCCTTCAACCAGAAGGACTCTGCCTCTCCCTGTCTGTTGAATGCAACTTTATTGGAAGACAAATGTCCTACAACCAAAGCAAGTTTTGAAAACTCTTACTTTGTAGAAAGAAAAAAAAAAAAAAGCTAAGGGACATATCCAAGATAATATTGCTAGTTCACAGATGCCTGCACGACTCTCTTAACCCCCGTGCCATCTGAGGACGTTTCCTCTAATCAAAGGTAGCTTGATTAAGTGGACCTGGAATGGCATCCTCCGTTTTTAGTCTAAGGGATGGATGGGACTGATCATTTTGTCCAGTTGCACGCCAATCAGCTGCTGACTTTATACTGAAGGTCAGGTGGAAACATTCAGGAATTCAGGGGAAACTGAGGCAGGCAAGAAGAGATAAACCTGTTTTTTCACTAAAGCCATTGCCTACAAAAGCCCAGGACAAGACCCTTCCCCACTGTCAACCCCTCTGGCACCCTATTCCATTCAGTCCCACTGGGAAGCAGTGGCCATGGCAGCCTAGCTGTGTGGGGAGGAATTGATGACAGGCAGACAGAAAGCAGGAGGAAAATGAAATCCACCATGGCTCTAGGGACTTTAATCAGGCTGCAGTGAATGAAAAGGATCCTGCCTTTCCCAGGGTGGCTACTGTCTGCACCACTCCCAGCTAGAGGGCTGAGGAGAGAGAAGGGCAGACAGAATTACATTTAAAAGGCAAAGGAAGGAGAAAATTGTTTCATCTCCCTGGTAGAGGAGGGCAGTGTTCCTGGGGCCCGGCTCAGACCAATCTCATTCCTGACACGTCTTAGTGCTCTCTGGAATAGTCCATGTTCAAATATTAGGAGAATGACCCTGCCTTCCGTTTTTGAAGAGATGTAGTTTCTCTCTTGGCTTACAGTTTTTTTTTTTTTTTTTTTTTTTTTTGAGGGGGAATCTATCCATGCTCAAAGGGAGGGCTGTAAGCGAAAGATGACAGGAGGTAAGGGAGCTTAAGGGGCTGAGAAGAGAAATCCCTTCAGTTTCCCAAGCAGAGGCATTTTGTTCTCTTGTCCTCCTCCTCTGCTCTCTAAATAGAATTCTCCCTTTGCTTCCCTCACCAAAATTCTCCCACAGGACAGCTCCAGCAACCCCATGACCACGGTGGGCCTAGGATGGTCCACTCAAATAGCCACGCTCCTGCCTGCAAACTCTATAGCTTCTAAAGTTTCCTCCCTCTGAAGGATCTGTGCCATGTTACTCTCTCTCTTGTTCCCAGG